TTAAAATTTTCACAGGTATCATTATAATAATATAAAAAAATATAATTTCATAATTTGTTTGATTTTAATGGTTTAGTGAGAACGCCGAGTAACGAGGACAGACAAAATGGCGGTACCAATAACACAACGGTCTCGGCGATCGGCAAATCGGAATGTTCTTTGTAAATGATTTTTACAACAAATTCGTGAGATTTCTATGAATTTTAGTCAAGTTAAAAAATTAAGTCGTTCTAAATCATATATGCATTTCTATTTATATACTAGTTGTTGTCCAGCAAGATACTAGAGATGCAGATAATTAACCTCTGACACATTCAGATCTGTTTTTGCTTTCATAAACGCTACATGAAATATAGCACCTCAACAAGATAATAGTATTCAGTATATTAACATGTTCTCTAATATCAACAACACACATAGGTTATTTATAGTAAATCTTAAACGTGTTATACTCGTAGCTGATATTGGTGATGTTATTTCGATAACTTTTAACGATGACCAAATATGAAATATTCTATGGCGGCGTCTATTCAACCAAGTCAGGAATCTGCCATTAAATCTGGCTCATTACATGTAATTATTCAACCACCATATAAGCTATTCCAAAATATATCACCACCCGATTGACACAAAAATCAACAGTTAAATTGAGAAAGCTCCACAAATATCCTTCCGTTCTGGCAAAAACTTCTCATAATTCTGTTGTGGCAAAAATTCTCAGTTTATTTGTGAGTCAGTCTAAGTATAACCATGGCTGGGAGATCACAAAATAGGAAACAGTATATAATGATTTTAAACCGTATCTTCTCCATCTACGGCTAAAGATAATTATACAAACAGCTAAACTAAAATGACTGCCGATCAATCTATGATGGAGACGAGTGATGACGGTGGTAACGAGAGAAGTGAACTTCCGGCCAGGTAGCCCGCCGAGCGCACGTGCATGTTAAAAGATATTTAAATAGAGAATGTGGAAAGCGTACGTTGTATGAGGCGGAATATAATGATTACATTTTAGAATCCAACTTGCTAGATAGGGGAGACGATGAGACGGGATACAGGTGCAGAACTCGCACGTGCCCGGAACGTGCTACGCCACTTACTCGTACATTCATTTGGCTCCGTGACGTCACAGAAATCAACGTACAGCAAATATTCCATGTATTCATAATATTGAAACAATATATATTTTGTAGACACGCAATATTTTTTTATTGGGGGAAATATAATCCAAAGTTGAGTACGGCCTTATAGTTGTCTAGAAAAGTACGTCGATGTGTGTGCACTTCACTATGGAAACTAAAGACCTTGGGTTTAACAATAGTCACCATTCCAGGAGCTGGGTTATGAATTTGAGTGAAAACTAGTTTATGATTTATTGTAATGGCAATGAATGTTTAATAAAGACTATGTTGATAATGGCACTGGATACATAAATTGTGCATTTTAAGAACGCTGCTAATACACACGCTGTGAGATAAAGCCACACACCACCATCACCACACAACTCTTTTCTCATGCCGTGCAGCTATAGGCTCTCTCATAAAGCCGAGATCGTCATGGTTACTGGGAGTTCGCAGCTGACAGTTCCCGTGGTGATAGAAGTTTGGCAATACCCCGTGGGGATACTAGTTTTAGCTTTTGGACAAAGCATTGTTCTGAAAGTCAAAACCATTGTCAAAGTATTCCCGGCCTGAAATGCACATGGGAAACCGAACACAGAGTCATTGACATCTAAACAAATGATATATATGATGTTTATTGCATGAATATTTTGATAAAACCCATAATGCATTGAATTTTATTTTTGGATATTACACTAGATACAAGTTATTCTGAGATGTGTTGGCTTCGACCATCATGATTTGACGGCAACAAACTTCAAAGCGTACGCACGCCTTTACCTTCCGTATGTCTATTACCGTCCTTATACTATTTTCCATCATCTTCAAGATGGCGTGACGGGTAGGAGAGGCTTAGAGGACATCCCTGTGATTTCATCATCTGTGATGCCACTGTGAGGGGATCTGTCCATCAAGCAATATACAGTTGGCTAACAACTGGAGAATAAATTACGAGTTCAGCTAATATATAACATATTAACAAATGTCCGACGACTTTAAGACTTGAACGCGTACATTATCATATATTTAGTTACGAAAACTCTCTTGTAATTGTGTTAGAACTACAGACACAGGCGATTCGATATTATACTAGTACTCGGCAAGCGATGTGCAAGGCAGCGAGTCATTATGAATCACACCAAGTTGAACATGAGAACTAATCGACACTGCGTCTCGTTGATGGTTCGAACTTTTTTTGACACAATGTAGATATGCACATGTTATGTCTTTCATTTAGCAACTATATTTTCTATCTTTCGAATTGCAAATACATTGTATATTTTTCCAGACAAAACGTGATACTCTTACACATGGCCAAAATCAGAGTTGACATTACTTCACGCCCTCTGCCGCCTCGCTAATCGCGTTTGTCGTCACATCAAGATTGCTCCATCCACATGTCTCAATATTTGATGAATATTTCTCATATACCGATTCACTGATTTCTAATTGTGACTTAGACACTTGAGACAATTTTAAACCCATAGTTAAATTGCATATTTTCATTCTGAATCAGTTCTTATTCTAGGAGGTCTGTTCTGGACGTCACGGTGACAGCGTCCGTGCTGTCATGGTTACAATGTGACAAAGATCTACATTCTTTATCCTGATATGCATTAATAATCATATAAAACATGATTGATATTATCCCCATCGTCCTGACTTTGAAATGAGCTTTTATTTGCAATAAAGATGTGCAACAAAGATATTATAGAGCGTTGCCATGGTATTCGCCATATCTGTAATTACTGTGTATCAAAATGAAGAGTTTATCTCTAGGGCTCAGCTTACTCAAAGCAAATCGGGAGACATGAAACCAAAGTAAAATTTTACATTTTTTTATTAATATTAAATAAGGTAAAAAATTAAAACTTGTGAGAAAGATATATTTTTATGGAACGAATACTGGTATATTCCTTGTACACACAAAACCGTAACGATAGCTGCACTGTCTCTATGATCGCAATCTCCGTTCAAACAGAATAAGAACGGTAATATATCTAATGCCATGTCGTGTTCCAAAGTCATTTTAAAACTACATTTCATGCTGATGAAGCCAATAAAGAGAGAATGGAAAGCCGTTACCATGGCAACTTTATCCTCCTTATAGCTAAACCGTCGTCTAGTGAGTGCAAATTAGTCTGTTAGTTGCTTAGGGCAATGTAAGGCGACTTCCATCTCGTGTGTATCTCACATGTAATCAGTACAAATGCAAATCCCATAGAATGGATGAGTTTGTTGGTTGAATATTTTATACGAATATACGAGTCATGTATCACATAGTGGGTGTCACGTGACAAGACGACTAACAACATGGCGACCCCTGTGATGGTTTTATTAAAGTAACTCCAATGATCACGTGACGATGAAGTGTGTATTTTAACAGAACTGCTATTATTACCGCAAATTGAAATACTTACGCATATAAAATCTAATTTTATTCCTCTCAAATTTGAAAATAAACGTACGTTCTCGTTTTGGGCGCTCGTTTTCCCCTCCCGACGACTATACGTCATTGCATTCATGATTGAGATTCGTTTATTAAACACGGTGAGTGGTTTACAAAAATATTCTGTGGCCAGGCTTGGCAGTAATCATGGAAAGCAGTAGGACCAAAGCAGTCCATGGAAACCTCGAAAAAAACAGCGAGGAAATAAAAACAAAGACGTAACAAAAAATCTTCATCCTATGTTCATTTGTGTCGCAACTCTCACAAAAAATAATACTAGTATATCCAATAACTGTGTCGGTGTAATAATGCTACATTTTTCTTTTTGCTATACAATACACTTCTAGTAGTATTAATAGGATCACGTGATGTGACGTTTAACGCCATTTTATTTTATTTTATTTTTAACGCCAAATTCATTTTTAAAGACAAATTTATAGAAAATAAAATAAACAAGCGTTTACTGAGGAGCCATAATAAATAATCAAATGCGATATGTCGTGATAACCAAACAAATTGCATTTGAACGAGTTTATAATTATGAATAAAAACACATGTTTGTTTAGACTAAGAACGGTATCGGGAACGAGTTGAGTCCATGCCAGCCTGTCATGGAGCTGGTTCCTATGTGTCAACGGTAAATATACATAAATCCAGTCACAATAACATTGTATGTATTAATTCCCGTGCAAGAGATTTGCACGGTGTAAGGGGGAGGGGTACAGTTTGGTTTCCAATTTGAAAGTAATTGGGAATGTGCGATACGGCATACACCAGTTGCCATGGTTATGTGACCTTGTAATTTAGGGAGTTGTGTAATACATATAAGCATATGTGTACATTTGTTCACAATATAATCATTTAACTGCGCTGATTTGAACTAAACTGAACGTGTTTACAGAAGGAATATAATTTGGATAAAAGGATATAATTTAGCTGAAAGCCAACACCTCTTAATGTAAACATTTATGTTGTTGGCCAGCGGGGATGTTCAACCTCTTCTTATACTCCGTCAAACATATTTTAATCTCGTGTAAACCAGTAAACAGAGCATGCAAGCCAAATAGGAAATTATAATATATCACTGGGAACAACTGACATGTTGTTGGACCGATTATATTGGATTGTTTGTCATTGTAATGTACAATTGTGAAAAGTACATACACACCTATTTTGGCATTGTTTTACAGTCGCTTACTTCCGTGGAACACCGGATAAAACCGGACACAGAAGACCGACGTTTTGATGTATTCATAGTATGGTAAAATGATTGCGACTTGTTCTAACTCGTACCCGCGTAATTGGGTGGAGGCTTCTGAATGGGGTCTGTGCTCTCTAAACTAAAACACGTGAAAAAGGGGCGTTCACATTCACACATACGTCGCTATGTAACAATAGAAGGAAGTACAATACATGGTTACGTAATATCCAATATCAATCTATACTTTATTATCATGATATCATAAAGTAAATGGCTTTATTTAAAAACATTTAATTTAATTGAAAATTTGGTTCAGTATAGAAAATGGGAAAGGCGGCAATATTTCCACGGATGAGCGGCTATAGGATATGTAAATCTAACTGAACTGGCAGCCAGATTGATAGGCTGAAATGGCCCCGGTGAGAAATAACGAATCTATGTTAGAAAAATGGACAGATGGATACACATGTCACCTGTTGACATTTCAGCGATCAATATGGTAGAGTCAAGTTATCATCTGTCCTTATTGACACAGACTTGTACCGTGTATAGAGGGTGAAACGCTCTATTGGCCAACGATATACTCCGTGAGAAAATCACACTGTCAACAATAGACACATCGAGATGATTTTGTACAAACAAGACGCCATATGGAAACGGTGCCCACCCATCCGTACTAAATCTCTTGAGAAGTCAGAAATATAAAACACAGACAAGAATAAATTCACAAAAATACCCAAGTTACAAAATGTCGCTTTCTTTTAAAAAAAACTATTTGACAGAACACACATTGGTTCATCGTTTATATAGCGTTCATCGCTGTAGTTTTACACTGTCCGCATTTCTGCATTACAACGACGCACATTTAATAATATATTATTTACACTTAGAGTCATTTTTCAGACAATATTTTGTTCCTTATTTTGGCACAGGAAAAGCACATTAAAATCGCAGTCATCTGGATCAACGGAACGCACACATATGGTTTTCGATGTATTAGCGACAAGTCTATATCAGACAGCGACGTATCTCAGCCACCTCGCCCAGTTGTATGACTTCGTTATAAACATAGTCGACCATTTCAGCTAAGTCGCTGTTCACTGCATGGTTTCGTTAACCTAAAATAACAATTCAGAATGCATATACATATTAATTATTGTTTTTTAATGGAAAGATTGTCATTTTATGGCTAACAAATAAATAAGAGCTACGTACTATTGCAATATATATTGAATTAATGCCGTTTATAAAAGGCGTTGTTTTATACATAGTTAGAAACATGGGGATATTACTATAGTATTTGAAAATAATCGAAAGGATAAAATAGTTAAAAAAAAGTGTGATTAATGATTGGTAATATATATTATCGTACTACTATTCACGATGCATTTGTAAAACACACCAGATAAAAAACGACTGCGTTCGGCGTATATGTAAGGTGTGAAAACTGTCAATTGAAATCAGCCATGTGTTTTAACATGTGTGAAAGGCTGAGCTAATTACATTTACAGGTTTATGTGTTTGATAACAGTGTTAAATACGACAAGACGAAAACAATGAATTGTGTGAATACGAGCAGACGGAACTTACCGAGATAAGTGAGTGGTTGACAAGCAGTGTTCCCATAGCTAGCAACTTCTCGGCGAACAGCTGTCTATATCCCAGCTACAGCTTGCGCTTTTCTCTAAATGACTGACCTGGTTGAACAGGAACAAAAATAACACAATAAGAAATATTGCTCATGGATGGTATGAATATATGATTATGACAGTTATTAAACGATAAGTACATGTAAAGAGAGGAACATCACACGGAAAATTGACATATGGTGTCTACAAACAAACGTAGAGTATCAAATCAAAGCATATTGAACAGCTGCTGGAAAGAGGACAATTTAGAGTGGGTAAAAAAATCGTAAAATCAATCTGTAAGCGTTGACTTGATGGACAACCTGACACATTAGGTCATTCAGCGCGTATGTTCCCGTAACATGATGTGTGTAAACGATGAACACATTCCAATGCAATGTATACCGTACTGGAAATATAGGCCACACACAAACTATCCTACGCTAGCGTAATAATACTAATATCTAGGCATGTTACTAACCTGATCTGCGGCAATGGCAGTGTTTTCTGGTGGTATCGTTCCAAGTGGCGTGCGATTCGTTGGTATTTGTTTTTCGAGGGGTGGTGGTGGTGTGTTCCTCATAGCAGGATGCGCCTCCAATTCGACCTGTAAATCTTGGATATAGTCTATGACATGCTGCAAAAGTTCAACCTTACTGACTTTTTTATTTGGCGGTATAGTTGGCACTAAGTCTTTCAATTTGCTGTAACAGTCTGACATGCTATACGTCAAAATCCCATCCAAGTACTCCGACATAGACCCGGCAGCGAGGACGGCAGCAGCAGCGGCAACCATATTTCCCCTGCTACACGTTTCAACACTTTCTTTAGACACATGTCGCAGCGCTGATGTAGAGTTGTGGAGCTTAGTAGCCCGGTTTCCTTGTCTTTCTTTCATGTTTGCTGTACAAATCACAGTCGGCGATAGCTATCAACGGTTGCGAGAAGGGATGCGATGTGTGTATTACTGCAGTAGAGCCTGGCTATGGAATGGCAGTCTTAGATAAGCTCCGTATATCAAACCACCAACACAGTCTAAATACACTGTGATCAGGATCAACCAATCAACTCCGGCATATGATTAATTACCTGTAAACATGATGAGGGCCCTGATTGTACGAGTGACATTGATTACACTTTGAAAGCCAATCAGCACTCTGTATACCACGACTAAGCTGTCAATCATGAATACCTAGGGGGCAGTCTACAAAACCATGTGATATCCCTATTTTGTGTACTTTATGTCTGTCAATAGTACGCTCTACGCGGAATCCCCTTTGTTTACTTCCTCATTGCACGCTCTCACTCGCAACTCGCGTCGATTTTTCCAAGTCCGTACAATTTTCTTGCACTTTCTTGAAGTTGGGTTGCAGCACAGATGTGTTTTCCCGCGTACCACACAGCTGTGTGAGAGGTGTGTGTATTTTTCGCATGACATACCGAATCAGATTTGACAAGTGATTAATTGGGGAAAACAAGCCACAATCAACAACAGCTGCCGCCGGCTCGCTGGCGCCAGTCTTGTGACGTCACCCATTCATTGGGCTCATGAATGCTGTCAGACTGGCGACACGATGGCGGTCGCTATGGACACGCACACGCCAATCAAAACTTAGTACAAGGGAACCGCGGCACTGGCAATTACTCGGGACCAATTCCTGTGTGATAAATGGCTTTTTAATTCGTCACCTTCGAACTGTTGTCATTTCACACTTACACACCTGCAAATCTGCATCTTTCCATCGGCACTAATTACAATGAAATCCCAAAACTTTGCCAAAGTTTTTTTAGTGTTTTCTTCCTTTTCGGCGCCGAAACTTTCACAACGTATTAAACCTGTATCTAGGGTGTTTCTATTCTTCACACCTGGCTATGGCATAGGTCATCGAGACTGGACGAATGCAAGTATTTTCAGAAATAATAAAAGATTACTTAAACATTGCATTTATTATTGTGTCCGCAATAGCTACATACTTATACCTCATCGATGCCGGCTTTCTCGCGTATTGTCGTCAAAGTCTAGAATGACAATAGAAAAGACTACTTTATTGTGAAGATTGGGTCTAGGAAGAACAGCTGGCCAATCACATACCGTTCCCACACTAACAGTTTCATAGTTATTTTAGCGGGATTTGATGTTTCCCACGTTGTGTGCACTTGCCAGACGCAATGATATACACTGGGACGTTTGAACGCTGCAGAAATAAACACGAATTGCGTAGAACTACGAGCTAGTATGACAAATACAGGTGTTGGAGTCGTGGGTGGTAAGCGATATGAACGAATCGAGCAAACTAATAACTCCACCCACCACTGGCGAGTAGAGCCCTAAATTCCAATACACAAACAGTCACATTGCTTGCAATGAGCTAATGAAGGACCCGCATGCAATGCGTCTGCCAAACGACCGGCATCTTCATCCAACGATTCCCATAGCAACCACGGTTCCCACTGATGGGTCACTTGGTTTCTGCAGTACGTACAACGTACAACGAATACAAACGCTGAAACTGTGCTGTTATGTGTGAGCTAGGGATGGTGTGGCGTGAACATAAAGTTGCCCATGGGTAAGCCACATACCACACACAGAAGGACCACACATACACCGTATCTAATATCGTACATCACAACAGCGGGTAATATTTGCCTTGAGTTCGTGTTGAAATTACAAACACGTGCTACCCATTTTTGCATACACACTCATCTACCATAGGCCACATGCGAACATAGGATGAGACGGAAAGTCTCGACAATATCTTCCAATTACCAGTATCTAATATATAAACCCAGGCAGCGTTTGATTTGGAAATCTACATGAAATAATCCTTAACTTGAGTGTTTTTATGGAGCTGGTGGGTAGGGATGTGCCAAACCATCACCATGATGAACGTAGGACGTATAAAATATATTAGAATTGCCAGTATAATATACTGGCATTACCAATCCGACAATATAATAGAATTACCAATCCCACAATATACTAACAATACCGATTCGATAATATACTAGCATTACCAATCCGACAATATATACTAGCATTACTAGTATGACAATATACTAGCATTACCAATCCGACAATATACTGGCATTACCAATCTGACAATATACTAGCATTACCAATCTGACAATATACTGGCATTACCAATCTGACAATATACTAGCATTACCAATCTGACAATATACTGGCATTACCAATCCGACAATATACTAGCATTATCAATCTGAAAATATACTAGCAGTACCAATCCGACAATATACTAGTATTACCAATCTGACAATATACTAACAGTACCAATCTGACAATATACTAGCATTACCAATCCGATAATATACTAGCATTACAAATCTGAAAATATACTAGCATTACTAATATGACAATATACTAGCAGTACCAATCTGACAACATACTAGCATTACCAATCTGACAATATACTAGTATTACCAATCCGATAATATACTGGCATTACCAATCTGACAATATACTGGCATTACCAATCTGATAATATACTAGCATTACCAATCTGATAATATACTGGCATTACCAATCCGACAATATAATAGAATTACCAATCCCACAATATACTAACAATACCGATTCGATAATATACTAGCATTACCAATCTGACAATATACTAGAATTACCAATCCGACAATATATACTAGCATTACTAGTATGACAATATACTAGCATTACCAATCCGACAATATACTGGCATTACCAATCTGACAATATACTAGCATTACCAATCTGACAATATACTAGCATTACCAATCCGACAATATACTAGCAGTACCAATCCGATAATATACTAGCATTACCAATCTGAAAATATACTAGCATTACCAATCTGATAATATAATGGCATTACCAATCTGACAATATACTAGCATTACCAATCCGATAATATACTAGCATTACCAATCTGACAATATACTAGCATTACCAATCTGACAATATACTAGCAGTACCAATCCGATAATATACTAGCATTACCAATCTGAAAATATACTAGCATTACCAATCCGATAATATACTAGCATTACCAATCCGATAATATACTAGCAGTACCAATCTGACAACATACTAGCAGTACCATACCAATCTGAAAATATACTAGCAGTACTAATCCGATAATATACTGGCATTACCAATCTGACAATATACTAGCATTACCAATCCGATAATATACTAGCATTACCAATCTGACAATATACTAGAATTACCAATTTGACAATATACTGGCATTACCAATCTGACAATATACTAGCATTACCAATCCGATAATATACTAGCATTACCAATCTGACAATATACTAGCAGTACCAATCCGATAATATACTAGCATTACCAATCTGACAATATACTGGCATTACCAATCTGACAATATACTAGCATTACCAATCTGAAAATATACTAGCATTACCAATCCGATAATATACTAGCATTACCAATCTGACAATATACTAACAGTACCAATCCGATAATATACTGGCATTACCAATCTGACAATATACTAGCATTACCAATCCGATAATATACTAGCATTACCAATCTGACAATATACTAGCAGTACCAATCCGATAATATACTAGCATTACCAATCTGACAATATACTGGCATTACCAATCTGACAATATACTAGCAGTACCAATCCGATAATATACTAGCATTACCAATCTGGCAATATACTGGCATTACCAATCTGACAATATACTAGCATTACCAATCCGATAATATACTAGCATTACCAATCTGACAATATACTAGCATTACCAATCCGACAATATACTAGCATTACCAATCCGATAATATACTGGCATTACCAATCTGACAACATACTAGCAGTACCATACCAATCTGAAAATATACTAGCAGTACTAATCCGACAATATACTAGCAGTACCAATCCGACAATATACTAGCAGTACCAATCTGACAATATATACTAGCATTACCAATCTGACAATATACTAGTATTACCAATCTGACAATATACTAACATTACCAATCTGA